GAGCAATGGCAATGTCGAATGGTGACACTCGGTAAGTAATCCTACAATTTTTTGTTTATAGCGTAGTTTATACGGATTATTCCCAAAAAATATATACGTATTTTGGAAATGTTGAGTCGGATTAGTCTAGAATCGATTAATTTTATGGAAGAAAATCTTTCAAACAGCCGTAGTCCGTAAACTTGATACGTGTCGGGTTGTGATTGGAAGGATTCGTAAGAAAGCGGATTCCTAGAGAATGGAACGTATCTCTATCTTATAGGGGGGTCGACTGTATAGCTTTTTAAAGAAATGTACATAAAAATAACATAAGATATTCTTTTTAAATCTTAAAACAATGCACTTAGTCAAATAGCTCCCTACAAGTGGCTAATGGATAGAATCATTGAAAGCATTATACAATATTTTAGTGTGTAGCCATCCACCAGCTAAATTCCAGAGGTTGGTGCTCTGTAAAGCACATGCACGAGTGCATGTAATCTGGCTGCTTTACAAGATTCAGATATTTTTACTGTAGAAGCTGCCTCATATTCAACAATACAGTGCTTCAATTGGGAATATGCATATATGAATTTTATATTTGAATATACAATAGCAGTCTTATCATTGTTTTTCATATGTATAGAAATTTTTAATAAAGTACATGATGTGATTATAGTAAAATATTAATTTTACTTAATTCAAAGTAAGTTAAGATATGAAAATAATTGCACAATATGTATTTATATTTTAGAAAATACAAGGGAAGCGATGCTTCCACAGCTTCCATGGACGGCACGCCACTGGTAAACTTAAATACAAAATAAATTTAAGAAATGTTTTGTTCATATTCATGGTGTGATAAGTTTTAACATAAATAACTGGTTTAAGTCAGTAGAATACTTCAATGAAATTAAGGGCAAAAAGCAATACAAAAATCAAACAGAATACATTAAAATCATTCAATTAAAATATATTAAAAAACATTGAATTTGAATAAATTAGTATTTTTAATTATTACATAAATCAATTTCTAATGTATTATTGAATGCATTTGTTATAATTAGACAAATATCAACTATAGCAAAAAATTGTTTACAGTATTTTATGATGGTGCAAACTTTAATGAGTAGAAATTTAAGACTGATGTGCTTAATAAAAATTTAAAATAATTTTTTATTGTAGGTTTTCATTGAATATTTCAAAGAATTGGAGGAAGAAAGTATTCGTGATAATTTTGTTATCATATATGAACTTTTAGATGAATTGATGGATTTTGGTTATCCTCAAACAACTGATAGTAAAATATTACAAGAGTGAGTTGCTTTCTTTCTAATTGTTTTAATAGTGTAAATTATTAATTTTTTTTTATAAAACTGTTTTTAAATTGTTAATTACTTATATCTGTTTAATTACCATATAAAGTGCATTGATCAGTGATGGCCACCCCAATTTTTTGAAATAATAAAATTTTTATTATACTTAAACAAAAAACTATGACAGAAATAAATGTAGATGTAAAAAAATTAGTCAACTTACAATCAAAAATAAAAATATAAATTTTTTATTCAAACAATTAAATATAATGCTGTTGTAAAAATATAAGGCCAGTAGTATTTAATAGCTAGTAAAACCACCATTTTTCAAACTAACCGTGTAAATCCTATCTTTCATAGAGCTAACAAGATTTTTAAATACATTTAAATCAATTTTTTTTCCTCAGAGTTACAATTACAGCTTTGAGTTTTTCAATACTGCAGTATTGTTTTTGTAACCATTATATTGGCACTGCGACAGCTACGTCGACAATGCCTAAGTCAGGACTGACACCATCTGCAACTTTAGGTTCACAGTAACCTTCTAAATAATTATTGTTTGAGCAATCACATATGAAGAAATGAACAGGCTCAGAACGGAGGAGGGAATCTAGAAACAGTGCACTGAAAATGATGCACTGCACTACACATTTAATCATAAAACAACAATTGTTTATTCTTCAAGTAAATATAAATTTACAAAGAAAAATATAAATAGAGGGAGAGCCTAAACCTTTATGCATGCCTATCATAGAGAGAGTGTTTACAACTGTGTACATGGCTTGATAAATACCTGGATTTGTGATGTTCAGTTGGACATCCAGAAGAGGGAAAGGCTTGAGTATGATGAGTTCTGAATAGTCCACAATAATTAGTTTGGAGTGGCCAAGGTCAGGAAAAAATGGCAGGAATTAGAAAAGATTGACGATGGAACACGGCGGGGATGATCACATGCTTCAAAACAAGCAGGCAAACTATCTCTTGACCTTCCTTTCTCTCTATTTTTATTTGGGGTTTTGTTGTTTCCCTCTGCTATTCTGAGAACTGTATTTGTTAAGGTCGTGGAGCTGGTGGTTAATTTTTTTTTCTTTCTTTTGAAACTGCCTTTGATGAGTAGTTTTTATTTGAATGTGTCACCCACGAAGTGTTATTGGTGGGAAATCTTGTGAATTTTTTTCCATTGAATTTATTAATTTGGGCTTGAATATAATTTTCATTTTTGAACAAAAATTAAATAATTAAGATTAATTAAATAATGTTGCTCAGGTCATGGAATCTAATCCATGATCTGAACAACATTATTCAGTTACCATTGTTAAGTGGAGATTCGTTCATTATCTTGTTGCAATTGTCAGAATGGACAACCAATGTTTTTCTGCAAATGGCAGAAGATATATAGCCAAGAGGTTTTGATACCCAACTGCATTCATTTGCCTTTTATGAAAGCTAAATTGGTTTTTCCAGATCGTTCAAAACCTGTCCAGATCATGACTGATCCCTTCTCCTTGCTAACAGTTCAACAAAAACCCCTCTCCTAAGATCATGCCAACTATCAGGTCCATCCAAATTGAACTTTTCTCATCAGTCCAGATAACTTCATGACATTTTATCTTAGGCTCATATCAGTAATTCTTATTTGTGTTGCTGTTTTAGAGATGGTGCTGCTACTTTTTCTATACACTAGATGTTTGTTGATTTTACCAAAGTTTGGCTTTTTATTTCCATAGAAGAAATTAATTGAACACTTAATCATACGGATCCTTGCTCCATTCATCATCCTTGAAAAGCTTTAATATAAATGTATAAAAATGTATTGTTTTTTCAATTAATATTATCCTTAATAGTTTATTTAATAAGTTTTAAAAATTTTTTGAATTTAATTCTATATTAGAATTGGGTTAAATAATTTACTGGGTCAAACATTTTAGATTACAGATGAATATGTTATTGTCTGATGATAATTTCAATTATTAGTAAATGTAGTAATTTTTAAAATTAAATTTATATAAATATGAAAAATAAAACATCAAAGGTTTCATATCGGCAATATTATTTAATGTGCAAATAAATTTTTATCCATGCCATAATGTTGTATTATTTGTATGTATAATCTAATTCTTGAATCATTAAATTATTTAGCATATTTGATAGTCTCAAGCTATTTCAGCAGACTTTCACCTTTATAAAAGTCAATTACTGTATTAAGAATTTAGTTTTTAGAGATAAACAAATTAAAATTAATAAAAGTTTAGTAGAAATAAAATTTGAAAATTGAAATTATTAGTATGAAAAGTTTCAAAATAAAAAAGTTAAGATGTTAATAAAAACAAGTATGCATATAACATTTAATGTCTAATTTAATAATTCATAAACTAACTTTTTAATAATTGAATATAATACAATAAACGTTTAAGTATACAGTATTTGAATTTTACAGATACATTACTCAAGAGAGTCACAAAATGGAAATTCAACCACGACCTCCTATGGCTGTTACAAATGCAGTTTCATGGAGATCTGAAGGAATTAAATATCGTAAAAATGAAGTCTTTCTTGATGTCATTGAATCTGTTAATTTACTAGTAAGTAAGAAATTATTGCATGTTTATAAAGTTTATTATACAGGTATCCCTTGTATAACAAGGTAGTTACATTCCGAAAAAGTGTCATGTTATATGAATTCATTCTATTCAAAACAAAGGACTAGTGCAAAACATAAGGTTATGTTCTAAAAGTTAACAAAAGTATACTATACTTTTTCATTACTAAGAGAAAATATGTTTATTAAAGTAATTAATGATTTATTTTCAATCAATAATTAACAATCACAGTTAAAAGTACTTAAAGTATTAAAAGTGTATTATGTGTTTGTATTCATTTTACTTAAATGAGGGCATTTTTTTACAAAATATTGTCATCTTTTGTACTTTTTTGTTAATCTTGTTCAAAAATATAAATAATATCTTCATTTTTTTTAATTTTTATCATAAAAATGTTTTTAATGGATGACAAAAGAAAATCAAAAATTTGTTCTAGTGGGTTCTGAGTACTGAACAATTCCCCCCCCAGAATTTGTATTTCAAATTGTTCCCAATTCAAATACGGAGATACTGCTGTACAGTGGCATACCGTGACATTTGATGATTGTGAAGCTGTGTTTCTATAAGAGGCTAACTTCCAGGGGCAATCAGTTAATTGCGCATTGGTGATGGTCTAGGGTCCATTTGTATTTGTTTGTTCGATAAGCCAGAAAAACTGTAAACTTCTCTAAATGTACTTTAATAGATTATCTGATGTACTTAATAAATAAACAAGTTCAATATAATTACCTCTGTTATTAGATTCAATAGATTCCCTTTTCCCTCTAAATGCCAATTCTTGCTTTGATAAAAAAAACATATAACATCTATTAATTTAGATATAATATATCTATTAGCCATAACTATCTTGTTATAATTTTCAATATTTATTTTATATTGTTTACTAATGATAAATTCTATTCTGCTTTGATTTCCAAATTGCTTCGATTTTATGAAAGAATTGATGTGACATTTACGATTTTCATGTCTTTTGCCAGCTTTACTCAAATTATTTAAATCATCAAACCCATTCTTATCCATACACTGATTTCATTTGAAAACAGTAAGTCAAGGCCAACAAACCAATTTTTGCATTTTTATGCATTCACAAAGCCATTTTATGTCTTCATAAATTTTATCATGAAAATGTTGAAGAAATTTTTTTGTTGAAGTATTTATATTTAATTTAGACATTGGTCTTTCTCTTTTAATAATGTTTTCTTTTTCATTATACGGTCTCAATCCAAAACATTTTTGAAATAAATTTTTAATATCACAATTACATTCTGAATTGCTAGCCATGATATAAGGGCTAAAATTTAAAATAAAATTATAAAAATTTGCTTGGTGAAATAAAATGTGTAGTGGATATACATACCTGGTACAAAATATTCTTCAATTATATTAATATACTTTTAAAGAAAATTATAATTAAATATAGCTTTGTAAAGAAACGTACATAAAAATATAAAATATTCTATACTATTTAAATTTTAAAACAATCCACTTAGTCAAATAGCTCCCTATGAGTGGCTAATGGATGGAATCAGAGACTGTCCTGATAGGTGTTCAGTGCAGGCTACCAAATCCCGAAAGTGCCAATACTGATCAATGTCAAATGCCTCTTTTGTCGCATCAGTAGTATACCTCAAAGGACGCAACAGGGTTTTTATAAAATTTAAACGTTTCTCACCATAGCTGTAAAAATCTACATATGTTTAACTTAATAAATTGTCCGTCATTATTTGTTTTCTAACTAATTCGTTTTAGGGCCAGGTGTCCACAGAAATTTCCAAAATTTACAACTTTTCGGTCACTCTCGTTAAACTGGAAAAATTTGTCTTTATTACATCTAATATTATAAATAAATCGGTCTCCACTGTACTCAGCTAGAGATTGGTTCAGTTAAGCTTTTGTTTAAGTAAAATTTTGGCTCTTTCAGCAGTTTTATTTATGTCCCTAATCTCTTAATTATTAAAGGCTAAAGTCTGAAAGCAATGACAACAATACCTCATTGATAAGAGAACTAGAACAAGGAAGAAAAAGAATTTCTCTATCAGTTTTCATTAAAGTAAATCTAACAAGAGTCACAAAACAAATTGAAAATTTCAATATTCTAAAATCCTTGGGCAAATTTGAGACAACACATATGCTTACTTCAATAAACCAATATTGAATAATGGAGTTTGCACTTCAAAATTGTAAAATTTTGTATGGAGGATTTCTTAAATTCTTGAACTGTGTTTGAGCAAAATCGCGTTGGTGATTTCCCAATTTTCAAACCATGTTAGAACAAAACTGCTGTAGAAATCCTGCATTTCTACAGCACAGTTTTAAAAATGTAGAAATGTATTATATGAGGGATAACTGTATATTAATTTTTTGATAATGGGATAATTTTAAAAATTCTTGGAAAAGTTTATATTATCACATTATATAGTGCAACGAACAGAATGAATGGTTATAAAATTTTTTAAAGCAGCATTCTGATTTTTCTGTGGTAAAGGGACACTGTTTAAGAAAAGTCACTTAACAGATTGGCAACTGTCTTAGTAATTAGACATTTTTCTTATGAAATTAAATTAAAATTTTTTTATTTCATATTTCAAATACTATTTATAAACAAAAAATTTGTTTATTTTGCTTACTGCAAGTAATATCAATAACCTCTCAGTTTGTGTTTGTTTTATTGATACTTTATTATAAAGTAAGTATCAATGCAATAAAAATAGAATTTTTATGGAAACCAGAGTATTTTAGTTCATGAAATGTTTTCTGATCTACTAAAGAACCCAGCTTCAGCTCCAAACTTTAAAAACAAAATATGAATAGAACAATATAAGAATCATATGGCATTTTTAAAGATTTTCAAAGTTTGTACTGTGCATGAGGTTAACTGATTTTAGAGTAACCTTGTCAACTATTTTAAAAAGTTTAAAGTAAAGTAAACTCTTCCTTAGAATATTGTATTTTGAATCTTACCTTTCCATACTACAGTGTGTATATTTTTAAATTTTTTTATTTAAGATTGCACTGAAGTTTGTAGAAAGGCAGAATGCTTCAACCATTGCTGATGTGGATAATGAGGCATTGGTGCGAGTAGCAGCTCGTCAATGAATTGAGAAGAATGAAACACTTTAAAAAGTACAAGGTGTCTGAAAATTATTCACTCTAATACAATTAAAATAATAATTTCTTGGCAACATAGGCATTTCCAACATTTCCCAGCATTCATTGCCAGAAAATGGAAACACCTGCAGAGAAAGCAATGTGCTTGCTTTGATTTTGGAAAACAAAGAGTCCAATGACTATTCTGTGATGATTTAGATGTGTATTCAAGGAGGAGATGCTGACAAAACAATTGATAAAGCAATGGTTACAACAATTCCAAATCACAGGAATGGTACTGCTTCAAGCAGGTGCAGATAGGTCAAAGATGGCAAATAAAAATGTCAACTAGGTTAACACGTTCCAGCTTAGTCCTCAAAAATCCATTTGTCATGCAAGTTTGGAACTGAACCTTCCAAGATCTATGGTCCACAATATCATGCATAAGAGGTTGAGGATGCATGCAAATTGCAGATTGTTCAGCAATTGTGGCACCTGCTGGCCAGCTGAAAAAGATTTTTTTATCACCATGCTATCCAAAGTGGATGACGACACACTTCATTAACAACTTGGTCTTTTCTGATGAATTCATTTTTACATATGTGGAAAAGTCAACAGACATAACTATCACATATGGAGTTCTGAGAATCCACATGCATTACTAGAACACCACCATGATAGTCTTAAAGTGATTGGTGTGTTATGACAAACAATATTGTGATTGGCCTGTTTTTCTTCACTGGAAACACAGTGACAAGCATACCTTGATATGCTTTAATTGTCTGCTGTTCTACAACTGGAAGACCAGCAAGCAAATGTTATTTTCCAACAGAATGGGGTACTTCCACCCTGGAAAAGGAAGTCTTTTCTAGATCAATGGATAGGACAAGGTAGTTCCATCACTTTACCTTGCTCAACCGATGTGATGCCTCTTGGTTTTTCCTTTGGGAGGTATGTCAAGGATAGGCTGTATGCAAAAAAGATATCAAGTGTGAAGGAATTGAAGGAATGCATCACACAAGCAATAGGGACAATTCCTATTGACATGATCAGAAATACTTGGAGAGAGTGTGAATACAGATTGGACATTGTTCGTGTAACAAACTGTGCACATATTGAGGTTTATTAAGGGAAAATGTTTCCATTTGCTTTATTACCTGCTGTAGTTGTTTTTTCCATCTCTACTGGCATAATTTTTATGAACTTGGATAATATGGTGAATAATTATAAGTACAATTAATATTTTGGAGTATGAAAAAACAGTTAACATTTTTTAAAATCAAACTTGAAAAATCATTAATTACAGACAATTCACTGATACTACACAATTTTTAGCAATATAAAATGATAATTAACACAAGATAAAGTTTCTAAAATTTTGAATGTTTTACTGTTAATTAAGAAATTATAACTATCTTAGTTTAAATTTACATTTAAAGTGATTTTAGCAATCACTTGGTTCCCTTTAGCTTCAGTAAGACTAAACACCCTATTTGGCATTGAATCAATAACTTTTTGTAATTGTTGAAGTGTGATTGAGTCCTAGACATCTGTTATTACAACCTTAAGTTCATTTACTGTTTGATATTGCCTGTTTTCTGTATAGACTGTTCTGGTTAAGATGCCTCACAAATTTTCTATTGGGTTTATGTCTGGATTTCTAGAAGGCCAATCAATCATACTGATTTTTTTTCATTTAAAAACCATTGTTGTGTTGATTTTGAGTTTTGAATTGAAGCATTGTCCTACTGAAATTTCAATTGTTTCCTCCTGTAATTGGTCCAAATGGGATTAAGTTATCAGTGTTACTCAATCATGACCAGGGACCAGTAAAATGTCTAAAAAAATTCTATAGACCAAGTTATGTATGTTTATTCTTTTTTAAACTTATGTGGGTATTATTAACATTTGGGACATACTGAGCCATTTAGAACAATAAATCTAAAAGCATGTTGTTTTGAATACATAAGGAAACATAATTAATTAAATTAGAAATAAACTGTTAAAAGTATATCATCAAAGTTTGAACAAAGTTTTAATCTTTATTAATGTAAGTCTGCTGATCCATAGACCACAAGATCAAGAAACACCATTCTGTATTATTATTGATAGTTGATCATTTCAATTAATTAGAAATAAAAATTTTAAATTTTTTAAATTCAATTTTTTTTAAAGGCAAATGCTAGTGGAAATGTACTAAGAAGTGAAATTGTTGGTTGTATAAAGATGCGTGTTTATCTTTCTGGAATGCCTGAATTAAGATTGGGACTTAATGATAAAGTATTATTTGAAAGTACAGGACGTAAGTATTGAATTTAGATATTTTAAACATTATCTTTAATTGTAACTTAATATGATTTCATATATTTAGGTGGTAAAAGCAAGTCTGTTGAGTTGGAAGACGTAAAATTCCATCAGTGTGTGCGTTTGTCACGTTTTGAGAATGATCGAACAATTTCCTTTATTCCACCAGATGGCGAATTTGAATTAATGTCTTATCGTTTAAATACACATGTAAATAATTTTTACAAATATATTTACATTTTAAAATTCTATTAGATTTAAAATTTTCAATTAAATAATTTATTATAGGTAAAACCGTTAATATGGATTGAATCTGTGATTGAACGCCATGCTCATAGTAGAGTAGAATACATGATTAAGGTATGTTGTTTTATTTTGTGTTTATGATATATATAATTGTTTAACTTACTAATTTCAAATATCGGTTTTATTTTCATTTGTCAAACATTTGAACTCAAACAATTTAGATTTCAGTTCAGTTAAATGTTTCATTTAAAGGTTTTTCCAGATGCATTTTTCAATTCCAGCTAGTTTTACATTAATTCAAAAACCAGTTTCATTCAAATTATATTTGTTTCATTTTTACTATGCATTATTTAGGTATTTGGTATTTAAACAAGTATTTTTATTATGTATTAAAATTATATTTTGTAAGTATTCTAAAATATTGTTGTTCTTAATTATTGAAGAATTCTTTCTAAATTATCAACAATAATAAACTTTTGACTGACTGTTTTCATAAGAATTGTTCAGTTAACATGAGTTAGAAATGTGACCATTACTGTATGTGTGTGTTTATATATATATATGGATTTCACTAGATATTTTGCTAATGTTGTCTTGAAAACTATAGCAAAACAAGTAATGTAAAGAAATGCTTTCAACATAATAAAAATTGTAATTTTATTTTGAAACCAGCCAGTACAAAATTAGAAATGCTATAACTTACTCATTGTCATACTAAGGTCACAATTGAAAGCATCTTTTTTTTTATTACAGTACATTAAAGGCATCTTGGAAATCAAATTCGCTCCAAGATGAACCATTGATTGATATATTCATCAAATTGCTAATGTTTATTACATCTAGTCTATTGCATATTGGTATTTTAATGAAATTCATTTCACTAAAACCAATATAATAATAATTTCACTTAAAATTATTGTAAATCCTTCTTCGTTTGTTACACTTATGCCTGCTACCCTTAGATATACATACAGTAGACTTGTTATATCATGCTTTTTCTGACCACAAATTTTAAAAGCACTTGAGTCAATAAATTTTAAAATATCAATTGCCATTGAATTTCTTTTTGCAACAAAATACCATATTTTATTCCTTCCATTGTCCTTGAAATTACCAGTGCAGGTCAAACAATAAATTTGTCAAGATATAAATAAGCAAACAGGTGGACTTATCATTTATGTTTCCTTTTGATATTAAAAGTTGTTTGTTTATTGGTCTTAAGTACAATCTCCTCTGGTATTATCTGAAATTTCAAATTCAATGTGTAATGTGTAAGGAAAAGATATTTATTTCTGAACGGAAAGCTCTAAAATTTTTTATACAGTAGTAACTTTATTTTGCATTTTATAAAATTATAAAGAGTAAAAATTCTCTAAGTTTTGATGTTCCATTATATGTTTAATATTTATTTTTTTTAATTTTCATTTGTATTTATAATTTTTATTGAAAAATATAAATTACACAAATTTTTAATAAGCAACTTATTGTGAAATATAGTACTACATAATAAAACCACAACTGATATTTTGTTTTTATATCAACACTCTTTGTCCTTAAATGTCATCATTAAAAAAACAATAATGCTAAATGGACATTCCTGGTATCAATGTTTATGTAAATGTCATTTAATACATTATAAAATAAACTTAAGTTATGCAATACTGAATTTATTTGTGGTCATATCAGAAACATTTTCTGATGAAAGAATAGTGGATAGAGATCTCATCGCACGTATAATATGTTTAGTATAAGCCCAGAATTTTTAGTACTTGGTTATATCGCACTGCCAGATATATCATGCTTTTTCTATGTCTCTTAACAAGTGCAATATAATGAAGCATTTTTGAAGTTATTCTGAGATGTGCAAAAACACATTATTGTAAGGAAACTATCACCTTTGTCTAAATGTGAATTTTTCCCTTGCATTTTTGTGAATTTTCAGACAAAAGTTGTCACTAAATTGTATTACTTATCGCAAAGAAGTGGAAAAAAAAAACTACTGGTAGTGAGATCCCTATATATACTGTTCCAAAATTATAATAAAAGCTTGGAATTATACTTAGTTATCATATGTTGGAGAATATATATTCAGTGAATTTGGCTACTAATAATTAGTAAGATATAGTTTATTAGCAATGAAATGATACACAGTTTGGCTGATTTAGATTCTGTGGATTCTAACATAAATCAACAAGATGGTTATATAGTATAGGCTATAGATTTATGTCTTATCCAGTTTCTTGTGATTTTTCATGGATAGTTTTACATTAAGGTATTTTTTTTCCTTTCATCCATGTTGGCTGATCTATTTATTATGGATCAGGTCTATTCATAGATGGATAAAATTGAGTCTGGCCACCTAATCCATAGTTATATTATCTTGATAACTGATGTACTGTACTAGCACTATTTGTAACATTAAATTGTCTAAAATTGAGAAAATGATGAGTATATTTTTTTAATCTTGTAATTAATACTTGATATTTGGTTTTAAATTTAAAATGAATTTTAAAAGAAATTTTAAATTTATTTTGTTTTAGGCCAAAAGCCAGTTTAAAAGACGATCAACTGCTAATAATGTTGAGATTGTTATTCCTGTTCCACATGATGCAGATTCACCGAAATTCAAAACAACAGTTGGAAATATAAAATATGCACCTGAACAGAATGCAATTGTCTGGAGTATAAAATCTTTTCCGGTAATATTTTCATTTACGTGGTATAAAATATATTATCTTGTATGTATGCCAAGATAATATGTTTTTTGTGTATTTTTTGATAGATATGTATATACAGTGGGTGATCAGTTAACAAACGGTTAATGGTTCAGATAATGAACACTTCGTGAAAGATTTTGATGATCAGACAACGAACACTTTACTGAACAAACATAAAAAGAAGCAACGGAAAATAACGAATATCGATTGATTTTCCCTTGTCTTCGGGTAACAATTCGAAACTTTTCGGAGTGCAGATGTCAACATCAATGCTCAACCTGATACCAATCAGATAGTATTCCTCTGAATTTTGAAACTCTCCTGTGTAATTCCAGCTTTTTATTTACCTTTCTAACAAATAATTTTTTATAGTCTTCATGAGACTATTGGCCAGGCACTTTGTTAAGTTTTGCATTGGTGTTTATTTACAAAAGGTGAAAGTTTAACTGTCCCATCAGATATTCATTAATGTTTTAATACCAAATTTCAAATTTCATCCGGGCCTTGCATTTAAATAATTTTTTGTGGGCTAGTTGATTTCTGTTCTCTGACTTTTTGTAAGTGCTTTTCTGAACTTTTTATTTAAAAAAGAAACTGATAATATTATGGAGCCTAAAAAGAGGAGTGTCAAGGACTGTGCTCATCATAGAAACCAAGTAAGAGATAATAGCCAAGGTAGAAAGTGGGCACAAGNTAAAGAAAATTATAATTAAATATAGCTTTGTAAAGAAACGTACATAAAAATATAAAATATTCTATACTATTTAAATTTTAAAACAATCCACTTAGTCAAATAGCTCCCTATAAGTGGCTAATGGATGGAATCAGAGACTGTCCTGATAGGTGTTCAGTGCAGGCTATCAAATCCCGAAAGTGCCAATACTGATCAATGTCAAATGCCTCTTTTGTCGCATCAGTAGTATACCTCAAAGGACGCAACAGGGTTTTTATAAAATTTAAACGTTTCTCACCATAGCTGTAAAAATCTACATATGTTTAACTTAATAAATTGTCCGTCATTATTTGTTTTCTAACTAATTCGTTTTAGGGCCAGGTGTCCACAGAAATTTCCAAAATTTACAACTTTTCGGTCACTCTCGTTAAACTGGAAAAATTTGTCTTTATTACATCTAATATTATAAATAAATCGGTCTCCACTGTACTCAGCTAGAGATTGGTTCAGTTAAGCTTTTGTTTAAGTAAAATTTTGGCTCTTTCAGCAGTTTTATTTATGTCCCTAATCTCTTAATTATTAAAGGCTAAAGTCTGAAAGCAATGACAACAATACCTCATTGATAAGAGAACTAGAACAAGGAAGAAAAAGAATTTCTCTATCAGTTTTCATTAAAGTAAATCTAACAAGAGTCACAAAACAAATTGAAAATTTCAATATTCTAAAATCCTTGGGCAAATTTGAGACAACACATATGCTTACTTCAATAAACCAATATTGAATAATGGAGTTTGCACTTCAAAATTGTAAAATTTTGTATGGAGGATTTCTTAAATTCTTGAACTGTGTTTGAGCAAAATCGCGTTGGTGATTTCCCAATTTTCAAACCATGTTAGAACAAAACTGCTGTAGAAATCCTGCATTTCTACAGCACAGTTTTAAAAATGTAGAAATGTATTATATGAGGGATAACTGTATATTAATTTTTTGATAATGGGATAATTTTAAAAATTCTTGGAAAAGTTTATATTATCACATTATATAGTGCAACGAACAGAATGAATGGTTATAAAATTTTTTAAAGCAGCATTCTGATTTTTCTGTGGTAAAGGGACACTGTTTAAGAAAAGTCACTTAACAGATTGGCAACTGTCTTAGTAATTAGACATTTTTCTTATGAAATTAAATTAAAATTTTTTTATTTCATATTTCAAATACTATTTATAAACAAAAAATTTGTTTATTTTGCTTACTGCAAGTAATATCAATAACCTCTCAGTTTGTGTTTGTTTTATTGATACTTTATTATAAAGTAAGTATCAATGCAATAAAAATAGAATTTTTATGGAAACCAGAGTATTTTAGTTCATGAAATGTTTTCTGATCTACTAAAGAACCCAGCTTCAGCTCCAAACTTTAAAAACAAAATATGAATAGAACAATATAAGAATCATATGGCATTTTTAAAGATTTTCAAAGTTTGTACTGTGCATGAGGTTAACTGATTTTAGAGTAACCTTGTCAACTATTTTAAAAAGTTTAAAGTAAAGTAAACTCTTCCTTAGAATATTGTATTTTGAATCTTACCTTTCCATACTACAGTGTGTATATTTTTAAATTTTTTTATTTAAGATTGCACTGAAGTTTGTAGAAAGGCAGAATGCTTCAACCATTGCTGATGTGGATAATGAGGCATTGGTGCGAGTAGCAGCTCGTCAATGAATTGAGAAGAATGAAACACTTTAAAAAGTACAAGGTGTCTGAAAATTATTCACTCTAATACAATTAAAATAATAATTTCTTGGCAACATAGGCATTTCCAACATTTCCCAGCATTCATTGCCAGAAAATGGAAACACCTGCAGAGAAAGCAATGTGCTTGCTTTGATTTTGGAAAACAAAGAGTCCAATGACTATTCTGTGATGATTTAGATGTGTATTCAAGGAGGAGATGCTGACAAAACAATTGATAAAGCAATGGTTACAACAATTCCAAATCACAGGAATGGTACTGCTTCAAGCAGGTGCAGATAGGTCAAAGATGGCAAATAAAAATGTCAACTAGGTTAACACGTTCCAGCTTAGTCCTCAAAAATCCATTTGTCATGCAAGTTTGGAACTGAACCTTCCAAGATCTATGGTCCACAATATCATGCATAAGAGGTTGAGGATGCATGCAAATTGCAGATTGTTCAGCAATTGTGGCACCTGCTGGCCAGCTGAAAAAGATTTTTTTATCACCATGCTATCCAAAGTGGATGACGACACACTTCATTAACAACTTGGTCTTTTCTGATGAATTCATTTTTACATATGTGGAAAAGTCAACAGACATAACTATCACATATGGAGTTCTGAGAATCCACATGCATTACTAGAACACCACCATGATAGTCTTAAAGTGATTGGTGTGCCATGACAAACAATATTGTGATTGGCCTGTTTTTCTTCACTGGAAACACAGTGACAAGCATACCTTGATATGCTTTAATTGTCTGCTGTTCTACAACTGGAAGACCAGCAAGCAAATGTTATTTTCCAACAGAATGGGGTACTTCCACCCTGGAAAAGGAAGTCTTTTCTAGATCAATGGATAGGACAAGGTAGTTCCATCACTTTACCTTGCTCAACCGATGTGATGCCTCTTGGTTTTTCCTTTGGGAGGTATGTCAAGGATAGGCTGTATGCAAAAAAGATATCAAGTGTGAAGGAATTGAAGGAATGCATCACACAAGCAATAGGGACAATTCCTATTGACATGATCAGAAATACTTGGAGAGAGAGTGAATACAGATTGGACATTGTTCGTGTAACAAACTGTGCACATATTGAGGTTTATTAAGGGAAAATGTTTCCATTTGCTTTATTACCTGCTGTAGTTGTTTTTTCCATCTCTACTGGCATAATTTTTATGAACTTGGATAATATGGTGAATAATTATAAGTACAATTAATATTTTGGAGTATGAAAAAACAGTTAACATTTTTTAAAATCAAACTTGAAAAATCATTAATTACAGACAATTCACTGATACTACACAATTTTTAGCAATATAAAATGATAATTAACACAAGATAAAGTTTCTAAAATTTTGAATGTTTTACTGTTAATTAAGAAATTATAACTATCTTAGTTTAAATTTACATTTAAAGTGATTTTAGCAATCACTTGGTTCCCTTTAGCTTCAGTAAGACTAAACACCCTATTTGGCATTGAATCAATAACTTTTTGTAATTGTTGAAGTGTGATTGAGTCCTAGACATCTGTTATTACAACCTTAAGTTCATTTACTGTTTGATATTGCCTGTTTTCTGTATAGACTGTTCTGGTTAAGATGCCTCACAAATTTTCTATTGGGTTTATGTCTGGACTTCTAGAAGGCCAATCAATCATACTGATTTTTTTTCATTTAAAAACCATTGTTGTGTTGATTTTGAGTTTTGAATTGAAGCATTGTCCTACTGAAATTTCAATTGTTTCCTCCTGTAATTGGTCCAAATGGGATTAAGTTATCAGTGTTACTCAATCATGACCAGGGACCAGTAAAATGTCTAAAAAAATTCTATAGACCAAGTTATGTATGTTTATTCTTTTTTAAACTTATGTGGGTATTATTAACATTTGGGACATACTGAGCCATTTAGAACAATAAATCTAAAAGCATGTTGTTTTGAATACATAAGGAAACATAATTAATTAAATTAGAAATAAACTGTTAAAAGTATATCATCAAAGTTTGAACAAAGTTTTAATCTTTATTAATGTAAGTCTGCTGATCCATAGACCACAAGATCAAGAAACACCATTCTGTATTATTATTGATAGTTGATCATTTCAATTAATTAGAAATAAAAATTTTAAATTTTTTAAATTCAATTTTTTTTAAAGGCAAATGCTAGTGGAAATGTACTAAGAAGTGAAATTGTTGGTTGTATAAAGATGCGTGTTTATCTTTCTGGAATGCCTGAATTAAGATTGGGACTTAATGATAAAGTATTATTTGAAAGTACAGGACGTAAGTATTGAATTTAGATATTTTAAACATTATCTTTAATTGTAACTTAATATGATTTCATATATTTAGGTGGTAAAAGCAAGTCTGTTGAGTTGGAAGACGTAAAATTCCATCAGTGTGTGCGTTTGTCACGTTTTGAGAATGATCGAACAATTTCCTTTATTCCACCAGATGGCGAATTTGAATTAATGTCTTATCGTTTAAATACACATGTAAATAATTTTTACAAATATATTTACATTTTAAAATTCTATTAGATTTAAAATTTTCAATTAAATAATTTATTATAGGTAAAACCGTTAATATGGATTGAATCTGTGATTGAACGCCATGCTCATAGTAGAGTAGAATACATGATTAAGGTATGTTGTTTTATTTTGTGTTTATGATATATATAATTGTTTAACTTACTAATTTCAAATATCGGTTTTATTTTCATTTGTCAAACATTTGAACTCAAACAATTTAGATTTCAGTTCAGTTAAATGTTTCATTTAAAGGTTTTTCCAGATGCATTTTTCAATTCCAGCTAGTTTTACATTAATTCAAAAACCAGTTTCATTCAAATTATATTTGTTTCATTTTTACTATGCATTATTTAGGTATTTGGTATTTAAACAAGTATTTTTATTATGTATTAAAATTATATTTTGTAAGTATTCTAAAATATTGTTGTTCTTAATTATTGAAGAATTCTTTCTAAATTATCAACAATAATAAACTTTTGACTGACTGTTTTCATAAGAATTGTTCAGTTAACATGAGTTAGAAATGTGACCATTACTGTATGTGTGTGTTTATATATATATATGGATTTCACTAGATATTTTGCTAATGTTGTCTTGAAAACTATAGCAAAACAAGTAATGTAAAGAAATGCTTTCAACATAATAAAAATTGTAATTTTATTTTGAAACCAGCCAGTACAAAATTAGAAATGCTATAACTTACTCATTGTCATACTAAGGTCACAATTGAAAGCATCTTTTTTTTTATTACAGTACATTAAAGGCATCTTGGAAATCAAATTCGCTCCAAGATGAACCATTGATTGATATATTCATCAAATTGCTAATGTTTATTACATCTAGTCTATTGCATATTGGTATTTTAATGAAATTCATTTCACTAAAACCAATATAATAATAATTTCACTTAAAATTATTGTAAATCCTTCTTCGTTTGTTACACTTATGCCTGCTACCCTTAGATATACATACAGTAGACTTGTTATATCATGCTTTTTCTGACCACAAATTTTAAAAGCACTTGAGTCAATAAATTTTAAAATATCAATTGCCATTGAATTTCTTTTTGCAACAAAATACCATATTTTATTCCTTCCATTGTCCTTGAAATTACCAGTGCAGGTCAAACAATAAATTTGTCAAGATATAAATAAGCAAACAGGTGGACTTATCATTTATGTTTCCTTTTGATATTAAAAGTTGTTTGTTTATTGGTCTTAAGTACAATCTCCTCTGGTATTATCTGAAATTTCAAATTCAATGTGTAATGTGTAAGGAAAAGATATTTATTTCTGAACGGAAAGCTCTAAAATTTTTTATACAGTAGTAACTTTATTTTGCATTTTATAAAATTATAAAGAGTAAAAATTCTCTAAGTTTTGATGTTCCATTATATGTTTAATATTTATTTTTTTTAATTTTCATTTGTATTTATAATTTTTATTGAAAAATATAAATTACACAAATTTTTAATAAGCAACTTATTGTGAAATATAGTACTACATAATAAAACCACAACTGATATTTTGTTTTTATATCAACACTCTTTGTCCTTAAATGTCATCATTAAAAAAACAATAATGCTAAATGGACATTCCTGGTATCAATGTTTATGTAAATGTCATTTAATACATTATAAAATAAACTTAAGTTATGCAATACTGAATTTATTTGTGGTCATATCAGAAACATTTTCTGATGAAAGAATAGTGGATAGAGATCTCATCGCACGTATAATATGTTTAGTATAAGCCCAGAATTTTTAGTACTTGGTTATATCGCACTGCCAGATATATCATGCTTTTTCTATGTCTCTTAACAAGTGCAATATAATGAAGCATTTTTGAAGTTATTCTGAGATGTGCAAAAACACATTATTGTAAGGAAACTATCACCTTTGTCTAAATGTGAATTTTTCCCTTGCATTTTTGTGAATTTTCAGACAAAAGTTGTCACTAAATTGTATTACTTATCGCAAAGAAGTGGAAAAAAAAAACTACTGGTAGTGAGATCCCTATATATACTGTTCCAAAATTATAATAAAAGCTTGGAATTATACTTAGTTATCATATGTTGGAGAATATATATTCAGTGAATTTGGCTACTAATAATTAGTAAGATATAGTTTATTAGCAATGAAATGATACACAGTTTGGCTGATTTAGATTCTGTGGATTCTAACATAAATCAACAAGATGGTTATATAGTATAGGCTATAGATTTATGTCTTATCCAGTTTCTTGTGATTTTTCATGGATAGTTTTACATTAAGGTATTTTTTTTCCTTTCATCCATGTTGGCTGATCTATTTATTATGGATCAGGTCTATTCATAGATGGATAAAATTGAGTCTGGCCACCTAATCCATAGTTATATTATCTTGATAACTGATGTACTGTACTAGCACTATTTGTAACATTAAATTGTCTAAAATTGAGAAAATGATGAGTATATTTTTTTAATCTTGTAATTAATACTTGATATTTGGTTTTAAATTTAAAATGAATTTTAAAAGAAATTTTAAATTTATTTTGTTTTAGGCCAAAAGCCAGTTTAAAAGACGATCAACTGCTAATAATGTTGAGATTGTTATTCCTGTTCCACATGATGCAGATTCACCGAAATTCAAAACAACAGTTGGAAATATAAAATATGCACCTGAACAGAATGCAATTGTCTGGAGTATAAAATCTTTTCCGGTAATATTTTCATTTACGTGGTATAAAATATATTATCTTGTATGTATGCCAAGATAATATGTTTTTTGTGTATTTTTTGATAGATATGTATATACAGTGGGTGATCAGTTAACAAACGGTTAATGGTTCAGATAATGAACACTTCGTGAAAGATTTTGATGATCAGACAACGAACACTTTACTGAACAAACATAAAAAGAAGCAACGGAAAATAACGAATATCGATTGATTTTCCCTTGTCTTCGGGTAACAATTCGAAACTTTTCGGAGTGCAGATGTCAACATCAATGCTCAACCTGATACCAATCAGATAGTATTCCTCTGAATTTTGAAACTCTCCTGTGTAATTCCAGCTTTTTATTTACCTTTCTAACAAATAATTTTTTATAGTCTTCATGAGACTATTGGCCAGGCACTTTGTTAAGTTTTGCATTGGTGTTTATTTACAAAAGGTGAAAGTTTAACTGTCCCATCAGATATTCATTAATGTTTTAATACCAAATTTCAAATTTCATCCGGGCCTTGCATTTAAATAATTTTTTGTGGGCTAGTTGATTTCTGTTCTCTGACTTTTTGTAAGTGCTTTTCTGAACTTTTTATTTAAAAAAGAAACTGATAATATTATGGAGCCTAAAAAGAGGAGTGTCAAGGACTGTGCTCATCATAGAAACCAAGTAAGAGATAATAGCCAAGGTAGAAAGTGGGCACAAGATGTCTGATGTTGCTAGTAAGTATGGCTTGAACAGATCTACAGTAGGCACAATCTTAGCTATGAAAGATATATCAAGAAGTCTCAAGCTGCTAATGGAGTAATGAAAATAACATCTGAGAAATAAAGAGCATTTTAGAGCTCATAATGGAACCTGAAACTGATCTGACAACAGAAGAACATCAAGAACTCTCAAATGAAGAATACCAAGAAACTCAGCAAGATGTCTTCTTTTGAAAAAGAGGAAGACAAAAGACGACCAATGTCAACATCTGCTACTGAAGTGGGAGGATGTCAGAACAACGATCATCCAAGTGGCCTCCAAACCAGAATAAGGTTAATGGGGTTGGGGATCTCTACAATTACAATACTGTTAATTACTTCTGAAAAATCCCGAAGAAAAGAGAAAAGCAATCGACACTGGACAGATTCTTTAACCCCCACAAATGGAAAAAACATGAGTAATAAAAATGCAAGACTGTGTATATTTGTCTATTACATATAAATAAACGTAATAAAAAAGTATGTATTTTTTTATTTTTTGGAGTCTCTGGAACAAATTAATCAAATTCCCATAAAAACCTGTGGTAAATTGATAATCGGATAACAAACAAAGTCTTGGAACAGATTATGTTCGTTAACCGATCACCCACTGTATATGATATATGTGAAGAGATACAAAATAATAATTTAATTACACAGGTTGTCTAAAAAGAAACCAAACTTTTGCTCTAGGAAGAAAAAACTACAAGAAATATTTTTATAAATCTGTTTATTTATTCAAAATATGACCCCTCTGCAGCAATACAATGTTCAGAACAAGTAACTAGCATTTCAAAGGACTTTTTCATCTTTTTTTGGCACCTGGTTCAGTACTGCAGTCACAGTAGCCTCAATCTCAGAAATGTCTTTGTAACAAGTCCCTTTCATTGGAATTTTAAGTTTTGGGAACAGAAAATAGTCACAGGCAGCCAGATCAGGAGAATGGGGTAGATGGTCTAGGGTCACAGTTCCCAAAAATTGACAAACGGCAGTGCTCTTGTGCGAGGGTGTGTTGTTGTGCAGCAGTGTCCAGCTTCCTTGAGCACAATACTCTGGCCGTACGTGTAAAATTTGTTTCCAGAGACGTTCCAAAATACCCAAATAATAATCTCCAGTAACATTCTGGCCATTTGGGACAAATTCTTTGTGCACGATACCAATCCACACCCAACTCATTCACACGCATATAATGTTCCATCATCTTGCATTCATATCATATTCAGTGAGTGCTCTCAACTGCCCCACTCCAGGGTTATGGTAGGTTAGTTTAGTTAGTGAGTAAGTTAACATTTAAAAAAATAAATAAATATAAAAATTTTGGGGTCTTGCTCGTTTGTCTCTGTCAGTCTGTTCATCTCATCTAGTTTGTCATTATGTTCGTTTGCTTTTTGCGCTGTCTGTCTAGCTGTCAAGTAATATTAAGATTTGTGATCGTGTTCGGTTTTATTAGTAGGAAGACTTATATCTACTTAATACTAACAGCCACTTGGCACTGACTTCTACACTTAGCTATTTGTGGAGGCACTCAGTTATTGGTCTTCGTTACACTCGGGTTTTCTTTTAGACCCTTTGGGGGACTATGGCCTTGCAGCCTAAAAACTGCATGCCAACATCAAAAATAGAGGTTACTGTAGCCTTATGTATGCTGTTCAGAGGGATCCTACCTTTCTCTACTATCTCCTTCCCGTCCCCTTTCCCTCACCCTCTTTTCTGCCAGCCAAACATTTTGTGTACGGCTGATGGCTTTCTTGTATGTATGTATGTGCACGATACCTTTGGCATCATAAAAACAGACAAGCATGACCCGCAGTTTTTGGAAACAAAGTTTTTTCAATGTGGGCTCATCTGATGACTTCTACGTGGAACTTTGACATTTCGTCAACAGGTCGTATTGGTAGCATCACGTCACCCATGACAATATTTTTGAGAAAATATGGATTGCAGCAAGCCATTTTGATGATGTCCTGAGCTTGCTGAATGCACACTTGGTTTTGATCCTCAGTGAGTGAGTGAGTGTGGAACAAAGTGAGAACAGACCTTACGTTTCTTCAAATGATTATGTAAAATTATTTGGACAGTCCTTTGACACTCCCAACTCCTCTGACAACATTCTACAGGTCGTATTCAGATCCTTTCCTAATTTGTTGCACTTTATCGATGTTACTGTCTGTAGTCGATGTCTTCGGATGACCACTTTTTGGAACATTTTTAATTGATTCCCAGCCATCTTTGAATTGATGAAACCAGTCATAAACTTGTGTCCAACTTAGGCAATCATCCCCATATACTTCTGTCAGTAACTTAAAAGTTCTGGTAAAAGTTTTCTTTAGTTTTATGTAGAACTTAATGTTGGCACATTGCTCCATCGATATTTTCCGACGAGGGTCACGAAATAACCCTTAATTTCATGTCACAGAAAATTGTTATGAACCGATTCAAATCTAATTGCACACGATTGATAATATAACATTCAAAATTTTGAATTTGACCGTTAATGATAGTTGCACCATCTAGTTTTATTTCTAGAGCAAAAGTTCAGTTTCTTTTTAGATAACCTGTGTATATGGTAAAATGATAGTGAGATCATCTTTGAGAGTGATGATCTTTAACACAGTTTAGTGTTGAGTAGAAAAGTTGTGATGTTGTCTTTGGAAATGTCTCTTTAACCTGTGGAGTTGTGTAATCAGTAAGTAGTCATAATAATAATAATAACTAGACATCTAATTTGCCCATTATCATATGTATGTTCAATGAGAGACAGATCTGAAACTGGTCAGTCCATTATTTCAACTTCTTAAATATCCTTCTATGATTATGGGTGGGTGGTATTATCTTCTAAAAATATCATTTAAACAATCAAACATCCTTACTAGACCCGATACGTTTTAAAGCTATACATCAACCAAAGCCGAATATTAGGCCAGAAACAACTATATTACTAATAATTTAATAAACAATTTGACATTAGAGTTAAGCATTAGGCACCATCTCTTGATAAATTTAATAATTATAAATTAAATAAATTATTAAATTAATTTATAATTATTAAATTTATCAAGAGATGGCATCTAACTCTAATGCCAAATTGTTTATTAAATTATTAATAATATAGCCGTTTCTGGCCCGATTAATATTTGGCTTTGGTTGATATATATCATTTAAACAATGCGTATAAAGGTTATGACAACTGGGTTGTCTATACAATTCACATATCTGTAAGCTTTCTTTCATTGTGCCATTAAAGAAATTTAGAGTGCTTTCAGTAATGATAGCAAATCGATCTAAATCATCGTACCAGGGATGGCAGAGGATTGAAGCACAACAATTAGTCAGTTGGACACTCACTCTCCTTATTCATTATCATCATCATTTGGATTCAAAACCAAGACTTGTTGTCAAACATTACTTATACAGACCTCGTTTGCATAGGACAAATGGTATTAACTATCATGTCCTGACAGTTGATTTTAAGCACTTCATTGGGACTTATTAAGTCCAACAGACTGTTGGATATTGCCTATTGTTTATTGTTTGTCAGATGACTTGTTAAGAATTCTGTTCAGATTTGTGTTGCAGTAGTGTTTCTTATGGTTGGAGCCATCAGTCTTTGTGTGGTGTGATTTTCAGAGTACCAGATACTAATCTTTTATGTATATGCCTTCATTGGTCCATTGTTCACATGCTTCAGAGTAGATGGCATCTGCCCATTTAAGCAGAAATTTGGTTGACATATTGAGCATCAAGTTTGTCCTATTATCTGTCTGTCCCCTCAGATTCACACACTTGCTGATAGGTTGGTGAAGGCATTGCAAAGATATTATTTACACGATACAGGACAATGTATTAAAAACGTGATTACATTTCAATATGCTGGGATTTTTCATATTCCAGAAATCATAATAATATGTAAATTTGTGTAATTAATTGTGGCGTAAATAAAAAAATAATTTAACATCCTATTTACATTGGATGTTTTATCAGAAAATTGCAAGAAGAGAGACTAATTAAAATTTCAAAATAGAACTTTTTATTGTTCTTGAATCTGAAGATAATGTTTTCAATTACATTTATTAAATGATTGGTTGTAAATTATTTGCTGGATTAAAGATTGTTGTTTATTATAAAATTATTGCTTCAAAACCAGAAGATATAATTGCCTATTAAATATCTCCAAATACTTAATCCATAAAAAATCAATGTCAAACACCATACTAAAATACTTTTTTTCAAAGAATGACCCTCACTTCTGTGGTAACTAAAAAAAAAATTCAAACAAAACATGTCAAAACTGATTATTTTACTTGCAGTCTGTATATGATTTGTGTGTCAATCATTATGCATCTCTGATCAACTTTCTGATGTTATGACTTTTACATATTGATATTGCATTTTGGTTATTTAAATCTAGAAACCATAGAATTGTTAAGCAGATTCAAGTAGAGAATGTCAATTATGACAAGAAAATAATTGTTAATTTAGCTATTTTGAAGTACGAGTAAGGGCATACATTTGTAGTTAATAATAATAACCACTTAAAATACAAAATATTATACTATTTTGATATTGGTTTTCATCTTTGAAATTTCTGTTATTTTACAAATATAATTCAACACCAATAACTAGTCTTGGAATTTAAAAGACCTTAGAAGAAATATTATTAAAGTTTGTTAATTAACTGATTGCCAAGTCTCAACATCTTTTCCCGAGTACAGTAGAGCATCATTTATCCAAAAGCTGGTTAACTGAAAGCGTTCCAGTTGGCAAATTTAAATTTCCACTAGTGCTGTGGCACTGCAGCACTGGCACTTTTGTGTGGTGCTGAATCGAACGTTTTTGATACTNTTCTGTATTATTATTGATAGTTGATCATTTCAATTAATTAGAAATAAAAATTTTAAATTTTTTAAATTCAATTTTTTTTAAAGGCAAATGCTAGTGGAAATGTACTAAGAAGTGAAATTGTTGGTTGTATAAAGATGCGTGTTTATCTTTCTGGAATGCCTGAATTAAGATTGGGACTTAATGATAAAGTATTATTTGAAAGTACAGGACGTAAGTATTGAATTTAGATATTTTAAACATTATCTTTAATTGTAACTTAATATGATTTCATATATTTAGGTGGTAAAAGCAAGTCTGTTGAGTTGGAAGACGTAAAATTCCATCAGTGTGTGCGTTTGTCACGTTTTGAGAATGATCGAACAATTTCCTTTATTCCACCAGATGGCGAATTTGAATTAATGTCTTATCGTTTAAATACACATGTAAATAATTTTTACAAATATATTTACATTTTAAAATTCTATTAGATTTAAAATTTTCAATTAAATAATTTATTATAGGTAAAACCGTTAATATGGATTGAATCTGTGATTGAACGCCATGCTCATAGTAGAGTAGAATACATGATTAAGGTATGTTGTTTTATTTTGTGTTTATGATATATATAATTGTTTAACTTACTAATTTCAAATATCGGTTTTATTTTCATTTGTCAAACATTTGAACTCAAACAATTTAGATTTCAGTTCAGTTAAATGTTTCATTTAAAGGTTTTTCCAGATGCATTTTTCAATTCCAGCTAGTTTTACATTAATTCAAAAACCAGTTTCATTCAAATTATATTTGTTTCATTTTTACTATGCATTATTTAGGTATTTGGTATTTAAACAAGTATTTTTATTATGTATTAAAATTATATTTTGTAAGTATTCTAAAATATTGTTGTTCTTAATTATTGAAGAATTCTTTCTAAATTATCAACAATAATAAACTTTTGACTGACTGTTTTCATAAGAATTGTTCAGTTAACATGAGTTAGAAATGTGACCATTACTGTATGTGTGTGTTTATATATATATATGGATTTCACTAGATATTTTGCTAATGTTGTCTTGAAAACTATAGCAAAACAAGTAATGTAAAGAAATGCTTTCAACATAATAAAAATTGTAATTTTATTTTGAAACCAGCCAGTACAAAATTAGAAATGCTATAACTTACTCATTGTCATACTAAGGTCACAATTGAAAGCATCTTTTTTTTTATTACAGTACATTAAAGGCATCTTGGAAATCAAATTCGCTCCAAGATGAACCATTGATTGATATATTCATCAAATTGCTAATGTTTATTACATCTAGTCTATTGCATATTGGTATTTTAATGAAATTCATTTCACTAAAACCAATATAATAATAATTTCACTTAAAATTATTGTAAATCCTTCTTCGTTTGTTACACTTATGCCTGCTACCCTTAGATATACATACAGTAGACTTGTTATATCATGCTTTTTCTGACCACAAATTTTAAAAGCACTTGAGTCAATAAATTTTAAAATATCAATTGCCATTGAATTTCTTTTTGCAACAAAATACCATATTTTATTCCTTCCATTGTCCTTGAAATTACCAGTGCAGGTCAAACAATAAATTTGTCAAGATATAAATAAGCAAACAGGTGGACTTATCATTTATGTTTCCTTTTGATATTAAAAGTTGTTTGTTTATTGGTCTTAAGTACAATCTCCTCTGGTATTATCTGAAATTTCAAATTCAATGTGTAATGTGTAAGGAAAAGATATTTATTTCTGAACGGAAAGCTCTAAAATTTTTTATACAGTAGTAACTTTATTTTGCATTTTATAAAATTATAAAGAGTAAAAATTCTCTAAGTTTTGATGTTCCATTATATGTTTAATATTTATTTTTTTTAATTTTCATTTGTATTTATAATTTTTATTGAAAAATATAAATTACACAAATTTTTAATAAGCAACTTATTGTGAAATATAGTACTACATAATAAAACCACAACTGATATTTTGTTTTTATATCAACACTCTTTGTCCTTAAATGTCATCATTAAAAAAACAATAATGCTAAATGGACATTCCTGGTATCAATGTTTATGTAAATGTCATTTAATACATTATAAAATAAACTTAAGTTATGCAATACTGAATTTATTTGTGGTCATATCAGAAACATTTTCTGATGAAAGAATAGTGGATAGAGATCTCATCGCACGTATAATATGTTTAGTATAAGCCCAGAATTTTTAGTACTTGGTTATATCGCACTGCCAGATATATCATGCTTTTTCTATGTCTCTTAACAAGTGCAATATAATGAAGCATTTTTGAAGTTATTCTGAGATGTGCAAAAACACATTATTGTAAGGAAACTATCACCTTTGTCTAAATGTGAATTTTTCCCTTGCATTTTTGTGAATTTTCAGACAAAAGTTGTCACTAAATTGTATTACTTATCGCAAAGAAGTGGAAAAAAAAAACTACTGGTAGTGAGATCCCTATATATACTGTTCCAAAATTATAATAAAAGCTTGGAATTATACTTAGTTATCATATGTTGGAGAATATATATTCAGTGAATTTGGCTACTAATAATTAGTAAGATATAGTTTATTAGCAATGAAATGATACACAGTTTGGCTGATTTAGATTCTGTGGATTCTAACATAAATCAACAAGATGGTTATATAGTATAGGCTATAGATTTATGTCTTATCCAGTTTCTTGTGATTTTTCATGGATAGTTTTACATTAAGGTATTTTTTTTCCTTTCATCCATGTTGGCTGATCTATTTATTATGGATCAGGTCTATTCATAGATGGATAAAATTGAGTCTGGCCACCTAATCCATAGTTATATTATCTTGATAACTGATGTACTGTACTAGCACTATTTGTAACATTAAATTGTCTAAAATTGAGAAAATGATGAGTATATTTTTTTAATCTTGTAATTAATACTTGATATTTGGTTTTAAATTTAAAATGAATTTTAAAAGAAATTTTAAATTTATTTTGTTTTAGGCCAAAAGCCAGTTTAAAAGACGATCAACTGCTAATAATGTTGAGATTGTTATTCCTGTTCCACATGATGCAGATTCACCGAAATTCAAAACAACAGTTGGAAATATAAAATATGCACCTGAACAGAATGCAATTGTCTGGAGTATAAAATCTTTTCCGGTAATATTTTCATTTACGTGGTATAAAATATATTATCTTGTATGTATGCCAAGATAATATGTTTTTTGTGTATTTTTTGATAGATATGTATATACAGTGGGTGATCAGTTAACAAACGGTTAATGGTTCAGATAATGAACACTTCGTGAAAGATTTTGATGATCAGACAACGAACACTTTACTGAACAAACATAAAAAGAAGCAACGGAAAATAACGAATATCGATTGATTTTCCCTTGTCTTCGGGTAACAATTCGAAACTTTTCGGAGTGCAGATGTCAACATCAATGCTCAACCTGATACCAATCAGATAGTATTCCTCTGAATTTTGAAACTCTCCTGTGTAATTCCAGCTTTTTATTTACCTTTCTAACAAATAATTTTTTATAGTCTTCATGAGACTATTGGCCAGGCACTTTGTTAAGTTTTGCATTGGTGTTTATTTACAAAAGGTGAAAGTTTAACTGTCCCATCAGATATTCATTAATGTTTTAATACCAAATTTCAAATTTCATCCGGGCCTTGCATTTAAATAATTTTTTGTGGGCTAGTTGATTTCTGTTCTCTGACTTTTTGTAAGTGCTTTTCTGAACTTTTTATTTAAAAAAGAAACTGATAATATTATGGAGCCTAAAAAGAGGAGTGTCAAGGACTGTGCTCATCATAGAAACCAAGTAAGAGATAATAGCCAAGGTAGAAAGTGGGCACAAGATGTCTGATGTTGCTAGTAAGTATGGCTTGAACAGATCTACAGTAGGCACAATCTTAGCTATGAAAGATATATCAAGAAGTCTCAAGCTGCTAATGGAGTAATGAAAATAACATCTGAGAAATAAAGAGCATTTTAGAGCTCATAATGGAACCTGAAACTGATCTGACAACAGAAGAACATCAAGAACTCTCAAATGAAGAATACCAAGAAACTCAGCAAGATGTCTTCTTTTGAAAAAGAGGAAGACAAAAGACGACCAATGTCAACATCTGCTACTGAAGTGGGAGGATGTCAGAACAACGATCATCCAAGTGGCCTCCAAACCAGAATAAGGTTAATGGGGTTGGGGATCTCTACAATTACAATACTGTTAATTACTTCTGAAAAATCCCGAAGAAAAGAGAAAAGCAATCGACACTGGACAGATTCTTTAACCCCCACAAATGGAAAAAACATGAGTAATAAAAATGCAAGACTGTGTATATTTGTCTATTACATATAAATAAACGTAATAAAAAAGTATGTATTTTTTTATTTTTTGGAGTCTCTGGAACAAATTAATCAAATTCCCATAAAAACCTGTGGTAAATTGATAATCGGATAACAAACAAAGTCTTGGAACAGATTATGTTCGTTAACCGATCACCCACTGTATATGATATATGTGAAGAGATACAAAATAATAATTTAATTACACAGGTTGTCTAAAAAGAAACCAAACTTTTGCTCTAGGAAGAAAAAACTACAAGAAATATTTTTATAAATCTGTTTATTTATTCAAAATATGACCCCTCTGCAGCAATACAATGTTCAGAACAAGTAACTAGCATTTCAAAGGACTTTTTCATCTTTTTTTGGCACCTGGTTCAGTACTGCAGTCACAGTAGCCTCAATCTCAGAAATGTCTTTGTAACAAGTCCCTTTCATTGGAATTTTAAGTTTTGGGAACAGAAAATAGTCACAGGCAGCCAGATCAGGAGAATGGGGTAGATGGTCTAGGGTCACAGTTCCCAAAAATTGACAAACGGCAGTGCTCTTGTGCGAGGGTGTGTTGTTGTGCAGCAGTGTCCAGCTTCCTTGAGCACAATACTCTGGCCGTACGTGTAAAATTTGTTTCCAGAGACGTTCCAAAATACCCAAATAATAATCTCCAGTAACATTCTGGCCATTTGGGACAAATTCTTTGTGCACGATACCAATCCACACCCAACTCATTCACACGCATATAATGTTCCATCATCTTGCATTCATATCATATTCAGTGAGTGCTCTCAACTGCCCCACTCCAGGGTTATGGTAGGTTAGTTTAGTTAGTGAGTAAGTTAACATTTAAAAAAATAAATAAATATAAAAATTTTGGGGTCTTGCTCGTTTGTCTCTGTCAGTCTGTTCATCTCATCTAGTTTGTCATTATGTTCGTTTGCTTTTTGCGCTGTCTGTCTAGCTGTCAAGTAATATTAAGATTTGTGATCGTGTTCGGTTTTATTAGTAGGAAGACTTATATCTACTTAATACTAACAGCCACTTGGCACTGACTTCTACACTTAGCTATTTGTGGAGGCACTCAGTTATTGGTCTTCGTTACACTCGGGTTTTCTTTTAGACCCTTTGGGGGACTATGGCCTTGCAGCCTAAAAACTGCATGCCAACATCAAAAATAGAGGTTACTGTAGCCTTATGTATGCTGTTCAGAGGGATCCTACCTTTCTCTACTATCTCCTTCCCGTCCCCTTTCCCTCACCCTCTTTTCTGCCAGCCAAACATTTTGTGTACGGCTGATGGCTTTCTTGTATGTATGTATGTGCACGATACCTTTGGCATCATAAAAACAGACAAGCATGACCCGCAGTTTTTGGAAACAAAGTTTTTTCAATGTGGGCTCATCTGATGACTTCTACGTGGAACTTTGACATTTCGTCAACAGGTCGTATTGGTAGCATCACGTCACCCATGACAATATTTTTGAGAAAATATGGATTGCAGCAAGCCATTTTGATGATGTCCTGAGCTTGCTGAATGCACACTTGGTTTTGATCCTCAGTGAGTGAGTGAGTGTGGAACAAAGTGAGAACAGACCTTACGTTTCTTCAAATGATTATGTAAAATTATTTGGACAGTCCTTTGACACTCCCAACTCCTCTGACAACATTCTACAGGTCGTATTCAGATCCTTTCCTAATTTGTTGCACTTTATCGATGTTACTGTCTGTAGTCGATGTCTTCGGATGACCACTTTTTGGAACATTTTTAATTGATTCCCAGCCATCTTTGAATTGATGAAACCAGTCATAAACTTGTGTCCAACTTAGGCAATCATCCCCATATACTTCTGTCAGTAACTTAAAAGTTCTGGTAAAAGTTTTCTTTAGTTTTATGTAGAACTTAATGTTGGCACATTGCTCCATCGATATTTTCCGACGAGGGTCACGAAATAACCCTTAATTTCATGTCACAGAAAATTGTTATGAACCGATTCAAATCTAATTGCACACGATTGATAATATAACATTCAAAATTTTGAATTTGACCGTTAATGATAGTTGCACCATCTAGTTTTATTTCTAGAGCAAAAGTTCAGTTTCTTTTTAGATAACCTGTGTATATGGTAAAATGATAGTGAGATCATCTTTGAGAGTGATGATCTTTAACACAGTTTAGTGTTGAGTAGAAAAGTTGTGATGTTGTCTTTGGAAATGTCTCTTTAACCTGTGGAGTTGTGTAATCAGTAAGTAGTCATAATAATAATAATAACTAGACATCTAATTTGCCCATTATCATATGTATGTTCAATGAGAGACAGATCTGAAACTGGTCAGTCCATTATTTCAACTTCTTAAATATCCTTCTATGATTATGGGTGGGTGGTATTATCTTCTAAAAATATCATTTAAACAATCAAACATCCTTACTAGACCCGATACGTTTTAAAGCTATACATCAACCAAAGCCGAATATTAGGCCAGAAACAACTATATTACTAATAATTTAATAAACAATTTGACATTAGAGTTAAGCATTAGGCACCATCTCTTGATAAATTTAATAATTATAAATTAAATAAATTATTAAATTAATTTATAATTATTAAATTTATCAAGAGATGGCATCTAACTCTAATGCCAAATTGTTTATTAAATTATTAATAATATAGCCGTTTCTGGCCCGATTAATATTTGGCTTTGGTTGATATATATCATTTAAACAATGCGTATAAAGGTTATGACAACTGGGTTGTCTATACAATTCACATATCTGTAAGCTTTCTTTCATTGTGCCATTAAAGAAATTTAGAGTGCTTTCAGTAATGATAGCAAATCGATCTAAATCATCGTACCAGGGATGGCAGAGGATTGAAGCACAACAATTAGTCAGTTGGACACTCACTCTCCTTATTCATTATCATCATCATTTGGATTCAAAACCAAGACTTGTTGTCAAACATTACTTATACAGACCTCGTTTGCATAGGACAAATGGTATTAACTATCATGTCCTGACAGTTGATTTTAAGCACTTCATTGGGACTTATTAAGTCCAACAGACTGTTGGATATTGCCTATTGTTTATTGTTTGTCAGATGACTTGTTAAGAATTCTGTTCAGATTTGTGTTGCAGTAGTGTTTCTTATGGTTGGAGCCATCAGTCTTTGTGTGGTGTGATTTTCAGAGTACCAGATACTAATCTTTTATGTATATGCCTTCATTGGTCCATTGTTCACATGCTTCAGAGTAGATGGCATCTGCCCATTTAAGCAGAAATTTGGTTGACATATTGAGCATCAAGTTTGTCCTATTATCTGTCTGTCCCCTCAGATTCACACACTTGCTGATAGGTTGGTGAAGGCATTGCAAAGATATTATTTACACGATACAGGACAATGTATTAAAAACGTGATTACATTTCAATATGCTGGGATTTTTCATATTCCAGAAATCATAATAATATGTAAATTTGTGTAATTAATTGTGGCGTAAATAAAAAAATAATTTAACATCCTATTTACATTGGATGTTTTATCAGAAAATTGCAAGAAGAGAGACTAATTAAAATTTCAAAATAGAACTTTTTATTGTTCTTGAATCTGAAGATAATGTTTTCAATTACATTTATTAAATGATTGGTTGTAAATTATTTGCTGGATTAAAGATTGTTGTTTATTATAAAATTATTGCTTCAAAACCAGAAGATATAATTGCCTATTAAATATCTCCAAATACTTAATCCATAAAAAATCAATGTCAAACACCATACTAAAATACTTTTTTTCAAAGAATGACCCTCACTTCTGTGGTAACTAAAAAAAAAATTCAAACAAAACATGTCAAAACTGATTATTTTACTTGCAGTCTGTATATGATTTGTGTGTCAATCATTATGCATCTCTGATCAACTTTCTGATGTTATGACTTTTACATATTGATATTGCATTTTGGTTATTTAAATCTAGAAACCATAGAATTGTTAAGCAGATTCAAGTAGAGAATGTCAATTATGACAAGAAAATAATTGTTAATTTAGCTATTTTGAAGTACGAGTAAGGGCATACATTTGTAGTTAATAATAATAACCACTTAAAATACAAAATATTATACTATTTTGATATTGGTTTTCATCTTTGAAATTTCTGTTATTTTACAAATATAATTCAACACCAATAACTAGTCTTGGAATTTAAAAGACCTTAGAAGAAATATTATTAAAGTTTGTTAATTAACTGATTGCCAAGTCTCAACATCTTTTCCCGAGTACAGTAGAGCATCATTTATCCAAAAGCTGGTTAACTGAAAGCGTTCCAGTTGGCAAATTTAAATTTCCACTAGTGCTGTGGCACTGCAGCACTGGCACTTTTGTGTGGTGCTGAATCGAACATTTTTGATTCTAGATTAACTTCTAAAGTATAATTGTTTTTTGTTTTTATATTCAAACAAAATAAATATATTGAATAAAGAAATAATCTTTAATGATACAATAGCCATGATTATTATTATAAAAATATTTGTTGGGCTTAACATTGACGAAAATTCAATGCAAAGTGACACACAACAGAGAAAACTTAACATGAGATAGGTTAATATATAGGTTAATAATATATATTGTATTAAATGTTGTTTGCTATTATAAAAATATATTCATACTACAGATTTAACTGCTTTGTAGTATGAATAAAGATGGGTAATTTTTTTTTATGTTGTTGACATTATTTTTGTATTTGAACTCCTCAGAATGAAAAGAAATATATCTTTGATTTAAATATTTGTTTAGGGTGGTAAGGAATATTTAATGCGTGCACATTTTGGATTACCCAGTGTGGAAAGTGAAGAGACAGAAGGAAAACCACCCATACAAGTTAAATTTGAAATCCCATATTTTACAACTTCTGGAATCCAGGTAAGTACACATTATTTTTCATTTAAAAAAGATAAATACAACAATTGTTTATTGGATTTATCTTTAGGTGAGATATCTGAAAATAATCGAGAAAAGTGGTTATCAAGCTCTTCCTTGGGTGAGATATATTACACAGAATGGAGATTATCAGCTAAGGACACATTAAACATATTTTAAAAATAAACATTCCTTTAGCTAGAGCTTGGTTATAATTTAAGGAAAAATAAACAAGAATATTTAATAAGTTTTGTATAGCAAAAATATTAATTAATTTTGAGAGTAAATAAAACTGGGGATTTTTAATGAATTTTTTCAATTTGTTTCGTATCACATTGTCAAATGTACATAATATGTTGAAATAAACATTTAATCTTGAAATAATAATTTTTGTAGCAAATGTTTATTGTATAAAAAATTATTTCAAAAAGCCTAGAAAAAAATATTTTCTAAGGGACATTTTCCAGCATAATAGCAATTCCTTGTCCTCCACCAATGCATGCTGAACCAATGGCATATTTTCCTTTTCTTCTCCTAGAAAAAGCAGTAATAGTTTGATATTTCTTTTATAATCATTGTAATAACAACAAAATTGTTTTTACCTTAATTCATACACAAGATTTGCAGTAATTCTTGCACCAGAAGCACCTACTGGATGACCTAAGGCAATGGCCCCACCATTAACATTTGTTTTTGTAGGATCAAGCTTTAATTCTTTCTCAACTGCCAGAAACTGAGCTGCAAATGCTTCGTTAATCTTAAAATAGACATTAAGTCTTTTTAACAATTAGATTACACAATAAGCAAGGAAGAAACGGTATAAAAACTCACATCAACCAAATCTACATCATTCAGCTTGATGTTAGTTTGTTCACACAGCTGTCGAATTGCATTAACAGGACCAATGCCCATTATTTTTGGGTCACAACCTAATTGAATTTTATTATTTGTGTTAAAAGCTTATAAATTAATAATTGAATAAGACTATTTGATAACTCACCTACATAACTATAACCAACAATTCTAGCCAGTGGTTTGAGATTATGATTTTTAATTGCATCTTCACTGGCAATCACAATTGCTCCTGCACCATCACATATTCCCTTCATAAAGTAAGAAGAGTATTTTGATACATTCATGTCTAATAATTTTTTAAAATTTTACTTACAGAAGCATTCCCAGCAGTAACAGTTCCTCCTTTTTTAAAAACTGGAGGTAATTTTGCTAATATTTCCATTGTAGTGTTTGGTCTAGGATGTTCATCTGTATCAAAGACTTCTTCTTTCCCTTTGATTTTTATTTTCATTGGAGCCATTTCATCCTTAAATCTTCCATTATCTTGAGCTAAAAAAATTTTTTTTTTAAATTTATTTAACACCTTATTAATTCATAAATACAACAAATTTTTAAAACCCTTCACTGTGAAGTAATGCTGGACATCCTGTATTTGAATGAATTTCCTTGACTTTCATGTCATAAAAAAGTTTAATCTTGTGATTTATTTAATTTAAATTAGTACGTAGGCACCCTTGATACTAGTTTTATTGTAATAAAATTCACCTTTAGTATGTTTTATATTCTTAAATAACCACTTTGAAAAAATGTTTTGGTTTTCATAAGAACATTTTTGGCACTTATCAAGCCATCTTCATATTCTGGCAAAAATTATCAATTTTCTTACAGAATATTTGTTTTATATAATATTTCAGATGATGGTTTCAAACTTAAAAGTTCCAATAGTAATGTATATTTAATTTTAAGAAACTGAAACTTCATAAATTGCTTAAGTTTTTAATAATTTTTCATATCCTAACTATCATAATGCAAATAGCACTATATTAATAATCTATGACAATTTACTATACAACTAAAACAACCCCTTCCATCTGCTTTATTATGTTTATTGCTTAATTCTAGCAAATCTTTCAAGGTTCAGTTTATCTAGACTGCTTTCCAACTATTTGGAAGGGTGACAAATCATTATTTTGTTATTTATCAATGTTTAATTACAGTCGATTTGCCTTAAGGCAAGGCGACTGTAATTAAACATTGATAAAACAAATTCTCACATTAAGCAAATTTTGCTTGTTGTATTATATGAAAATTAAAAATTTTACCAGAATTCATTAAACTGAACAGTAAACTACCTTCACTACCCCCAAGAAATAAAATTATTATTGGAAATATGGTTATGTTGAAATGCATAAAAAGTAAAATGGTACTGTAATAAATGTTCTATTTTGAGTTGAATCATTTTCTCCTAGTAAGCAAAGACCTCTGATTGTAGAGCAATGGTTTAGAGAAGCCCACCCCTTTAAATGGATATGTGCTAGTTTGCATATCAGGAATGCATACAGTGATGCCAGGTTTGGCTACTTTTTTACTCTTCTGACACCAAACAATCTTCAACACAAAAAAAAATCATGGATTTTTTTTAGTTTTGTTTTGTTTAACCACCATGATGACTTAAATGGTGAATACCATCTCATTTTGTTTGATTTGAAAATCATGTACAAAAATGAATAAATTAATGATTTACTAAAGTTAAATAAAATTAATTATATTTCAAAATATTATAATTAAGGATTAATAGACAATAGACAAAATCCCTAAACTCTGTAAATTATACAACTCTGAACTTGACCCTGAAAATCGTTAGTTTGCTTTATCAAAAATTCATATGAATTGCTAGGGGAACAGTAGTACATAACAAACATCGCTAAACCCGATATATAATATAGCTAAACACCAACCGTATGCCGAAAATCTATCTTTTCTCTCAGCGGTTCTAAATTATTTAAATTAATTTATTTATTTATAATTATTAATGTTAATAAGAGATGGCGCCTAACGCTTACCTCTAGAGCCAAATTGGTTACATAATTCATTTAGTAATTAGCCTTAAACTAGCCCGATAGATTTTCGGCATACGGTTGGTGTTTATCTGTAGTACATAACAACATAAGTTGACTGTGTAATGTTAATGTATTATGATTTTTATAATAATCTATCTATAAATGTTATACAGTAGGACCTCCATTATCCAGATTTTCGATTATCCGGATTGTTCAAAATAAACAAAAATTTTACGAACTTGCTGATTTGCACATGGCGAATTACGACACTGTTTATGTACATGAGGGAATGCATAATTTTTTTTTGTTTCAACAACGTCTCACTTGGCACAGTGATCGTAAACTCTTAAATATATTTTGCGTCGTAATAAAAATATAACTTGACATGCGTATTTATAAAAAATTTTATTTTCAAATTACATTATTTCTATGACCAAGGGCGGCGTAAGGCATGGGTAACGTGGGCCACCGCCTATGCCTCGCGTTACGAAGGTTTATGCATTACTTAAAAGCCGCGAACGCGACGAAAAAATTTTACTCTTCATAAAACGATAAATAGTTTGTCAAATTTTTATTCATAAAAATGCAGTTTCAACTGCTTTTTAATTGATAAAATCCGTCTTATTGCGCCACCAGAAGGCCTTTTAAACAATAGGTAGTCTGTTAGCGTTGTTTAGTAGTAGTCCAAATTCAATACAAACGTTTGTTTCTTAAAAATTTGATCACGATTTAAATACAGTATTTACTTTTAATATTACCGATATGTCATCGAAAAGAAAACGTGTTGTATTATCATTAAAAGACTAATTAAAGCATTTGTTTCGATTATCCGGATTTTTCCTTATCCGGACTACCTTCATCCCCAATTAGTCCGGATAATCGAGGTTCTACTGTATATATAATATTTTGGTAAAAAAAAACAAGGCTGATATCTTGCATTTAAAGCTTCATCCTCGATGTTAAATAGTTCATGAGTTCAAAGTTGGAGAGAGGGAGTTTACCTATAAGGTTCATAGATAAGGGATCTGAAGCGACTCAAAGGCTTGATGGAGTTCATGCAGGAAGCGGAAGATCAGTAGGGTATCCGATCATTGAGGCAACTTTGACTAGGGCAAACTTTCGATGGCAATGGATTCTTGGAAAGACGGACGAACTGTTGTCGTCATCAGTCATTGCCTTTTATTGGCGATCTTCCCTCCTTTCTCTCGTCCTTTTTTAGCAATGTTGCAGTGCCTATGTCCAATAACAATTTCTCATCACCAAGTTCCTGGTGACACATTTGATGTATCATCTTGAAAGTGACTCCATAGAGAAATAAAATCACATCCTTTACAATTTTCACCCAAAAATCTTTTTGTCAATCCTGGACTCTCGCACAATGTTTTCTGTGGCAAAAAAAAATGGTGGTAGTGATAGTGGGTCTGTAAGTGGCTGAATTTTGAAGTTGAATTTATGTGAAGCCATGTGACTTTTGGCACTTAAAACATTACAGCTTATATTTACATCGTTTTTATATTCCAGAGAATTTGTAACTTAGTGAGTTTTTTACAATTTTATTGTAAAATTGAAATGAATTCATTCACTAGAAAAAGTTACCTCTCTTGAAAAATTTGTTTTTTTGGCATTGCATGCTTCATATATTATTCTCTGTAAGTATTTGGTGAAATTATTGTTATTAGGGAATACATATGTATAAAAGTTTCAACTAGGTCAGAAATTAGTGAGTGAAAACTGAGTTATAAGATTTTATCTAGACAGACAGACTAAAAACAAGGATATTGCATTTTTATAATTTTTCAGCATCATTCCTTCATTTAAAAGTTCAATGTTTTATTGGTATTGAAAAAAACAATGAACATGTTTTGACCCTATTCCTAAGTAAATCAGAACATGGTATGAGTAAATTAAAAAGTATAATCTGCTTCAAAATGTAACATCCCAGAAATTAAATTATTTGCTAAAAAAAATTGAAAAATCTTTAGAAGACTGAAGATTGCAATTGTGCATGTTACACAATAACTGCTATGTTGATATTAGTGGACACTAGATTTCATTAGTGTTTTCATGTATCAGAATTTATGTAAATTCAACAACAAGGATAAAATTGTAAATTGGTTACCATTTTTCCAGTTTAACAATATTAAAGAGAAACCAAAAACACTGGAATACACAATATTACGATTATTTTGACTTAATCTGAGTAAGTTAATATCTAACTATTTACATTAAAGTGGATTGATTATGGTGATTGTTTATCATTTAATGGTCATCATTAGCAAACAGAATGCACATCAAGTGGGAAATCCCCCACCCAAGAAAAAAAAAAAATACAAAGAATATTTATCTATTACTTTTCAGCTAAGGTTGAAATCACTGTGAAAAACAAACTCAGAAAATTAAAACAACTCTTGGCTTGAGATATGAAATACACAATGAAATAATTTCTATCAGTCAGGGTAATCCTGGGTAACTCAACTATACAAAAGCATACAAATCACTTAAAGCTCAATTTTTTAACAAGTGGTTGGGTTGATCCAAAAGTTTTAATAGAGAGTTCTTCAGAACATAATGCACTTACTTTCCTAGCAAGAGAAATTTAAAACAAACTATATAACACTTGGTTGTTGTACTGACTAAAAATAGCATCATTTCTATCATAAAATGTATATGCAAATGGTCAATAAAACTAAGTGCTGTGGTAGTTTTTTTTTTTTTTTTTGTAATTCTTGAATTTGGTTACTCTGTCATGTATCAGGTGAGGTTAAAACAAAATGGAAACATCACAAATATGGTGCTGGGCAAAATGCACAGGCACAAAATGTATATCCAGGATTCCAGTATGACACATGCAGGTTGTCTATATGAATCAAATGTCAGCTAAATATGGAATTTTATGACTACTGTACTTTGTTCCAAATGGTACATTTTACAGTATGTTTTATGAATCTTGGTGACTTGCACAGCAAGAACAAATCTATGTTAGGGTTTCATTGATATAAACAAGTTAAATACCTACAGCATAATCCTGGTCACAAAATCATTATCAAACTTCCAAATAAGAGCCAAAACACTATTGCTAACATTCAAGAAAGATAATTATTTACCAAAATTTTGGTGAATCAGTGAAGGATGATAATGATAATGATGGTGGGAGGCTTAATCCTCATCACTGGTAATGAGCAGTAAAGAATAAATGTTTGCAAAGCAAAAGTTCTATGGAGCACCTTTTATTGCCATGCAATTCAACAATAATTTGCAATTTCAGCAAGCTATAGAGGGTGCTGTATAAATTTATAATGGCAAATGAAAGTGAGGCAAGTGTAATATAAACAATTTAATAAAGTTTGACATTAAAAAGACATGTTAAAAAATATAAGAGTTAAGTGAATAAAGGTGTTAATAAAATTTCCACTATCCTACTTATTGGTAATCACTCATCGATGGATGATTGCTTTAACTGAATTTTACTATATACTTTTCTAGTATTTTAGTACAGGGTGATCATAATTTAAGTTTCACTTTGAACCTCCTATAAAATGAATACTACTGGACCAAATTTTTTCAAACCTAGAAATATTGGGTATGTTCGTAAAGTCAAATGAGTTAAGTGAGAATGACGTCATCGTTATTCTTATTTCGTTAGACTTTTCGAACGATTTATTTATAACTAAATGGATGTTTCTAAAATCGAAAATATGAATGTTACTACTGCAGCCTTATCTGAAATATTTTTCTTAGCTTCAGGTGGACAGTTATTTCAATCATTTCACCTTTTAATTCACAATTTAAACACTTGAACAGATTTAGAAACATCGATATTGTCGGGCGCCATTTTCTTAACGAAGTAAACTAACTCTTTCCTTCGTGAGCTTCATTAGAGTTCGAAACGTCATCACCACAGAGTATGCGCACTGAGCGAGACTATTACTTTTTGAACGATTTGTTACTATTGCATTTAACTCATTTGACATTATGAATGTACCCATTATAAAGATCATGAAATTTCATAATCTGCAAAAAAAAATAATTAGCTCAAAAAGTAACCACCAGGGGAAAAATTAAGGTTTATTTCTTGTATTAATATCATAATACATTACAAATAACAATCATAGCAGTAGATGTTCACTGTACTGTCCACCATTTCCAACAAGGCTAAAGTGCAATATCACGCTCTTCACGGTTGCTTGAAGCATATTAGCCGGAATGTTATGAATATGCCGGCAAATTGCATCTGTCAGCTCTGACAAATGTCTGATGTTGCAATAAAAGTTGCTTTAGTGTTGATTGCAATATTAATTTGCACGAACACTGGATATTCATAAAGTGCCTTTTTTCTCTGGTGGTGACTTTTTGAACTAATTATTTTTTTTGCAGTTAATGAAATTTCAGACCTCCTTTATATTTCCAGGTTTTGAAACATTTGGCCCAGTAGTATTCATTTTATACGGGGTTTAAAGTGAAACTTAAATTATAAATCACCCAGTATTTTACAGAATATATTTTAATAATTTTTTTAGTTTAGTAATAACATTTATGACATTATTGATAAAACTTACCATCTTTCCAACGTAACTGAGACTGTAGTGCAAAGTTATCACATTCTTCTCTTGTGATTTTGTACATTTCTGCTAAATTTTCTGCAGTTATTGCCATAGGCATTTTAACATAAGAATCATTTAGAGAATTCCACAAACTGCATTCAATCTAGAATATTAAAGTGTAAATAATAATTCATAAAAACAAAATTATAAATATATATAGAATTGCTTTAATGAAATATTGCCTTAGGTTCAGATCCAAATTTCACTCCAAATCTGGTCTCTCTCAACATGAATGGTGATAAACTCATGTTTTCTGTTCCTCCAGCTAGCACAATTTCTGATTCCCTCAGGCAGATTTCCTGTTCAGACAAAATTTTAAATTCAGTGGTAAATATTTACCTAGTCATTAATATTATAAATCATTAACATGCCTGAGCTGCAGAAACAACGGCTTGAAATCCAGATCCACACAAACGATTAACAGCTAGACAGGGAGTCTGAATGGGAAGACCTAACTTTAAGGCAGTGTGACGAGCAGTGTAAATTCCATCTGGTGACGCAGCCTTTAACATTGTATTAAATAATGACATTTGTTATAAAACTGATAAATTTACTTAATATATGCTAAAAAAATTACTTACCTGGTTTACAATACCAAAAATAACAGAATTCACTTGCTGAGGTTGTACTTGAGAAGACTCCAAAGCAGCTTTACCGGCTGTCACGGCAAGCTCGGAAAGAGACGTGTCTTTTAGACGTCCGCCAAATGCGCCAAAAGGTGTTCGTTTAGCTCCAACAATAAATACTCCTTAAAATAAAATATTTATGGTAAATATACATAGAAAAATTTCATATACAAATAATAAACATCTGTAATAAAATTTCAAGAGGCATCAATAATTGTCTCATTTTCCTTTTCTAGAAGAGCAGCTAAAAGGAAAAAAAAACAATTCTTTGATGAAACTGAGTTTTTAATTATCTTTGAAATTTTCTGTTATGTAAGAAATTTAATAAAATTCTTTTAAATTTGATTTTGAATTCATGGTGCATCTTGGTATTTAAGATTTTTTCGTGGAAGAAAAAATTTTATTAACTTTTGTTAAGTAACACCAAATTATAAAATACCATGAAATAAAATTTCCAGCAGCTTTATCTCCATGTTCTTCTGCAGATGCAGCATTAAGAGAGTAAGTTGTAAGTTATCATAATATTGTCTTGAAATATGCATTTTAAATGTTAAAATGGAGTTTAAATGCTTGTTACCAACAAAGCTCATTTGAGCTAACAGAATTGTTGAATAGTATAGCCAAACACTTATTATTAGTGCATAATGCAAAACATGCTCTGATGATTACTGATAGTTGTTTTAAACTGCAAATACAGAGAGCATTGATTATCCGAATATTGATCAACCGAAATGTCAATTAACCGAAATCTTTCCAGTCGGCAAATTTAAATTTCCGCTAGTGCTGTGGTACTGCAATCTTTGGCTATGTCTTGGGCTACTCCAATATTATTTTTGTTGGTATACATGTTTTAGCTGGCAGCATGGCATGACCATGAGAGGGTACTTAAGGACAAGTCAGGATTTGAATAAGTTTCAAACATGGGATAGGTTAATATATTTTTTCGTACATAATTGGTTATCTGAAAAATCGATTTTCTGAACAACCCCAGTCCCCAATTGATTCGGATAATCGATGCTCTACTGTATGAGACGTTACCAATTATAAGATGAGCCATAATTTCTGCTTATTATTTATAGTCACATGCAATCTGCAGTACAATTTTTTTTGTAAGCAAAAAAAGTTCATTGTAAGTACATTTTTGTTAATAAGAAAAAGTTTATTGTCATATAATTTGTGCAACATTATATCATCTTTTTCTTGTAATGCTAGCAATGAAATATTGTAATTTATTAAATGTTCTTAAAAATTGCATCATTTTCTAACCTGATTACAAGTGTTAATAAACGTCCCATGCACATTTGACAAACCTTTATCTCTGGTAATGTTTAAATTTCGGGAACAAACGTTTTTGGCTTCACCCGAGGTCTGCTTCAGGTTAAATGAAAATGAGATTCCAAACTTAGAATGACTTTTTGGAACAACTTTGAACATTTGAGTTTTAAAATAAATTGGAACATATATATGGAGATTGGAAGAAAGCGTCATACCTGAGTATATGTCCAACATAATTATATATAAGAGATATGTAGAAGACATATTTATCCTATGGAAAACAGAACCTAACGTCAATAATTTTTTAAGTCGCATGAACAACCCCATATGGACTGATCCAATTAACTACCACCAATGTCCACTTCTTAGACGTCAAAACCAGTATATATTATAAACCCGGCTATGTTCCATGGTTTATATTGGCAAACTCAGCCAACCCTTACACTTATAAAGTAGTGGCATTCTGAGTGTTAGTTAGAAAAGCTTATATGCACCCTTCCAATTGGAGAGAGAGAGTTATTGAACTACAGAATCTAGGGCACATTGTGATGGGAATGGTTTGGTTTGTTTGAGTTGAGGAAATGCAACACTTGGGCGATCTGCCTAGGGGAATGTCTTCCGGCAGGTTTTTTTTAAGGGAAATGGGCCCCTATTTAGGCATTACAGATGTGGAGAAAACCCGAAAAACTCCATGTGGCCAGCCCGTCCAAGCAAGGCGCAAACCCACGACCAAACTCCCAGTGTTAAGGATACAAAGACCACTTGGCCACTGGTGGCCTCCAGTGTGATGGGAGTGGTTACAAAAAAAATAACTAATACGTGGATTGGCATGGACCTATTCCAGACTACATGTTACACAAGTTACCCCAAAACTCAAAGGGCTCACAATGGAGAATGGAATCAGGACCCCACCAACAGACACACTATGGTTGAATACAATCAATGATTTCATGCCTTGTATAAAGAAATTGCAACCAAAACAGGCACCAAAATAACTTACCAAAGGTCCCCCACTATATATACCTTATTGCACAATGCGAAAGACAAACAGGACGTTCTCAGGGTTTACAGTATCCTGGTGAAGGATGACAGAGTAGGCATGACATGGTGTACATCAGCTCCACTAAATGTTCCATCCAACAAAGAGTCTGAGAGCACAAATACAACATAGACCATGCTCGTTACACCACTGCCCTATCCACCTCTACCCCTGACCCAGAGGTTCATGCAGACCTATCCAACACCAAGCTGTTAAAAAGAGCCTTTCACATTGTATATTTCAAGGGCCTCAAGACCCTTGAAATATATAGGGCTGGCCTGACAGGGAGATGTATAAACTCTAAAGAAGTAATGCACTATCATATGCCTGGCACTACATATGTGAAGAGCAAGAAATCGCCAATGCTCCACAGCACGCGCATATGTTCCAATTTATTTTAAAACTCAATGTTCGAAGTTGCTCAATGATTGAAGTTGTTCCAAAAAGTCATTCTAAGTTTGGAATCCCATTTTCATCTAACCTGAAGCAGACCTTGGGTGAGGCTGAAAACATTTGTTCCCGAAATTTAAACATTACCAGAGATAAAGGCTCGTCAAGTGTGCATGTGGATATTTAATAAATTTTTTTTAAATATTCTCAAATCTATAGAAGAAATTAAACAATTCATTATAAAGCAGTTCAATGACAGTTTAAAATCTATTAATATAAAATAAGTCTGAATTTTTTATAATTCAAGTCAGTCCTAATTTGTACAATTGAATTATGATGGTAATAGTACACTCTTGCTAATCTGACACACCCAGTAAGATTGCCTAAGCACTTCCATAATCTGAAAAATATTAGTCATGTCACAAACCTGTTTTCTCAGGTTTTTATTTCTGTATACAGTATTGCATGTCAGTGCACCATATTATTTGACAACCTCCAAAGAAAATCAGTACCAAAGAGTGATAGGCAGACCTTTAACACTATACACTCTCAGTAATTAGCATCTTGCTAATCTGGCAGCTTTCCCTGCAAGGAATGGGAGGATTAACAAGACTCTAATGTATATTACAAAATTATTTTGAGTACAAACAGTTGGCTACACTTGCTAATGGTACAGTATAACAAATGTTAAATGTAATACTGTAAAAAAGAGCAATAAAAAACATGCTATATAAAAATAACTCTTAAACTTTGTGCCATTACTCTCTTAAACTGAAAACAAAACTATGCAGAGCTGCTTCCCTTTGGATTGTCATTCTAATCACAAATTTAAAATTTATAAGTTAAATAAAAATAAAATTGACTCAATATTAAGATTGTAATATTTCCTCACTATGATTTTTGATTGCTATGAACCTGTCTTTGTGGTATTTTTGTGAATCTTTGCATTACTAAAGTATCATAATTAAATTACTCCTTTATAAGGACTTTCTGAATCCATCACTGGAACAAATTTTCTCCACACGAACAGTGAACAAGATAAATCTCGTTGTATCAGGAGGACTTTCAGTTTTCTTTAATTAATTAAAGATTGCATGGTCAATGTGTCAAGGTCAGATACTATTACTTGTTATCATCATCTAAACTAAAACTCTTAAGCTAAGTTTAAAACATATCTTAAACAAAGACGTGCTTGAAGAAGTTTGTTGGAGACCCAATAATACTATATTTTGTACAAAGGTAGAGGTGAATTGATCCATCACCATCTCTATCTTGTAAACAACAATAAGATATATCTCATCATATTTTATGTCAAGAATCCTGAACATGATGAAAAGTATAATTTTAGAGTACACTTTTATATTGTGAAAAAAATTGTCATAGATTATATGCAGCAATCCTGCACCATAGAAGTGGGAAGGTATTTAAAACAAATTTCACAGATTATAGGCAAGAAATTACATTAACTATTTTACATAAGCAAAAAGAATAAAAATATATTTTCTTGATTCAAAGATGCACTAAGGTATATTTCTCTCTCATTTTTTTAAAAATTCATATGAAATACTAATCTATCTGTAATTATCTACATTGGAAATAATAATAATAATACAGAGATATTTCAAATTTCATTCATTACCAAATTGGTAATTTTTGTAATATTGCAAAAGACTATATGTAATGAAATTTATTTTCTCATATTTAGAAATTTAAGTCTAAATTATTTTAATAATTCAAAAGCTAACTTTTTAACATATAATTGTATGATCTGATATATCAAAAAATAATAAAGTTCAAATGTGTCAAATTTAAAATCTCAGCAACAGAGAAAAATAGTGGTATATTTTTAACAAAAAGCTATAATGAAAGAGTTCTTAACAAAGATATAGTCTGATTTGCTTTCATCTTAGAAACTGTAGAACTTTTTCATGTAATAATTAACATTGATTCTACTAAAGAATCTCACAACAAAGAAAACTATTGAAATTATATATGCCTTTATAATCTGCAGAAAATGTACGTGTATAGCAAAAATTTGAGTGTAATCTATAAAACGTTAATTATATTATTATTAATGGACTACTGTAATGATTAGCATTAAATCCATAGAATACAGTTTTCTAATGTTTGTACTTTAAAAACAATACAACACTGGTAAAGAATATTACCTGATTTATTTATTCTAGTATATACAGAAATTATTATAGATGTTAATTTAGCAAATTTTTGTTAACCTTTAGCAAACTGATTATATTTAATATTTTTAGTAAAATACTAGATCATCTGTGACCCATTGGGTCACTTACTAAGTTACTTAAAATTTGTAAAGAACAGAAGATACTGTAATAGGTAAAAAAACATTTATAGATGTATATTGCCTCCACATGTCTTGTTTTATAGATTTTCCCTCAAAATAAA